CCGTGAATTTGGTTTTAGAATTCTCCTTATACACGATAAAAAAAGAACTGACCTCCAAAAAAGCAGAAATCTTGATACTTAAGAATCCACGTTCATTGGTTGCTCAAACCTGAAGAAGATGCCTAGCTACAGACTACTTCACTCTTACAGGGTATTATCTGTTTACCATAAAGAAAAGAGTCACCCTCATCTTCACTATTATATAATCACAGCATTACTATTAGCTAACACTGTTGAATTTGCTAAACTTCACCTAATTCAGGTGTGGTGAATTTGTGTTGTCAGAGCATCCAACCCCAGGTGCTGTTGCAGGAGAATGGTCTCCTTCTCACCTTACCTTTTACACCAGTGCTGGAAATGTATCCAAACAAATCTGTTTAATTTGCTGCTCCATAAATCTGCCATAGGCAAGCTTCTTTCTTTTACTGAAGTGTATATGCTAGGCTACGAACAATGGCTTAAGAAACAACCCAAGATTTGGAACAATATGTGATGGCTTCTGTTCATTTGGACCTTTGATTTTCTTGGATAAAGAGCAAATTCAGGTTCAACCTTCTTTGAGCACAAGCTCAAATATTTAAGCACTTAATATATGAAAATAAAAATGGATCTGTGTGTATATTTGCAGGTGCATAAGAAACTTGTACATCACTATTAGAAAACAGTTTTTTTGCAGTGGCTGAGCTCTGTACAGCACATGCAGGACTGGAACAGGGGTATGTCCAGCTCTGAGAGCTGCCCTGTGCTGTGCCAACCCCCCACGCTGTGAGGCAGCAGCATAGCAAGCTGTGAGCAGATGACTCACCTACCATCACTGCTGCCAGCAGCAGGGTGAGGCGGGTCCCATAGGTAGCAATATGCGAGACACATTCTCCCCAGTGATTTTGTAAGACAGAAGAAATATGCTGAAAGGAGAAACAGAGTACAGTTAGCACTGTCCTGTGACAGAAAGATGACTAACAATGAATATCAACCTGGCATGTGTCTCATTTACTCAGAATTGTGAAAGGATAAAAATATTTTTACCTATACCTCTGCTGATTGTCATCTACAAAATGAGATTCTTCACTGGGAAATAAATAGACCTAGTTACAAACAAACAACCTTGAAATCTGCTTTTTTCACAAAGTAAGGGCCCTTTTAAAATAAGATTTTCCTGTGTCACTTTAATTAATTAAGCAACTATAGCTACATCATAAAGGCTTATTTCTTATCTACTATGTAGATGCTGTAGAGAAAAAAAACAGGGGAAGCACGTTTCTGTCAGGGATGAACAATTAGCACCCATCAGATTAACTACAAATACTAGAAGCTTAGCTGCAGTCTTTTAGCTTTTGGGCAAATTCTGTCATATTTAAACACACCAACTGCCAGAGAAACTTCAGCTAGAATAGTTACTATCTAATATATTTCAGAACTCCTCACTTCCAAGGTACAAGCAAATAAACAAATTTCTCAAGAAGTTTCCTCCTGTCTCAAAACTCATCTAATTTCCAGGAGTAGTATACCCAAATGAATCAGAAATATTATCTTTCCTCACAGTGTTAATGACATCCTACTAGCTGATAAAATCAGCAGCTGGGAAGTGTAATCCTGCCACCACACTCCTTGATTTGCAATTCACATCCTTCAAGCTGTTGTCCGGTTCATGCCACTTACTCAGCAGATTTCTGAACTGGTTGCTTATATGCCCAAAGCATACTCAGCTGGCAAGCCCTTTATAATATAAATATTTTCCTTATTGTCAGGAGAGCTTTGTCTCCCCCAAAAAACCTCCTTTTGTCTCCATGATCACCATTCCTTCATGGAGTTTGTTCAGAACACATAAAAAAAATGATTTCCTAAGAATGTTCTCAGCTATGTTTACTCCAAACTGGCCTGATAACCACAGTCTCATTAAAATTTGCTGGTGGTTTGATCTTCTTCAATAAAAGAAGTTGCGCTTTCCACAGTATGAGCATTTCTTCTCATAATTAGAAATCAAATTGAAAAGTACACAACTTTTTAGTCCAAAGTATTTCAAGCTGAGAGTGGGAATACATTTGTTTCACTCTTGAAAATTTGAAAGCCACAGAAAAGAAAACATTAACTGAAAGTTCAAGGAAAAAATATAGATAAAATAGACAAAAATCTATTCAAAACCTATTCATCTCATTATACCATCTAGCTCTGCAACAGATAGCAGAGTCCCTTCTACTGCCTTTCCTGTGCAAGGACTCTTTAGGATTTAGAAGATAGGCTGCTGTATTTTGAATTGCTTTGAGATCTTTTTTTGCTAGTCTCTGACTCTGCAAACTCCTAGTGAAGATTATTATGTCACTTTCGTGTACTAAAATCCCAGGCTGAAATTACATGACTCATTCAAACACTGCAATCCACCTGCCCAAGCTACCTGCCTTGCTGTCAGGGATGCTGCCGTGCAAGGATTGCTGGACTGGAATCAGCTGTGAGCTTACATTGGGCACCTAGAGCAATCCAGAAAGTGTTCAAGCTGACACCCATATTCACTTTCCCGCAGCTTCCTCAATACACATATTATAGGAAGCTGAGTTTTCTCAAACTCTCATTCATTTGTTGTACTTAAAATTACATTCAACTCCCAACTTCCAACTAATACTTCCTTATTTACAACGTTCATTAGCTCATTTCAACAGTAGCATAATGACAGAGCAAAGCCCTGTGTAGCAAGATAAAAACTAACTTGGGGCCTGGAAAGGAAATACTTGTTTAGCACAGAATCTACCCATGCCAACTTTGATACTCCAGTTAATTATCCTTTTCAGTAAGGCAAGCTGGCAGGAGAGGTGTATGCTATTCCTCAAAGCAGTGTTACTGAGCTTGGATAACCAAACATGCCACTGCCAGAGTTTAACTGTTGGCTAGGATTCAACAGAATTATCCTGTATGAGGAGAAATGTCATGATTTGTAGTTTTCTTCTGAAGGCACATGCTGAATTGTCTATCTGTTGAAATCATTCCTTTGTCCTCTTAGGGGAAAAGGATAAACAGCACAGTGAACTTCTAGGATATTTCAATTCACACTGTGCTTCTGTTCTGTTCTCTTTCTTTCTCCTCACAAAGCACTAATTTTTCAATCTAAGTAAGTGATGAAGTAGGCTTCCATGAATGTGCATATAAACTAAATTTCTTAAAGACTGCACTATTTAGATGCCTATTTTGGAGAAGAAAATCACAGTCATGCAAGAACATCTGCTGCTGCACTATATGTCTGGCCATGCTCAGGTCCAATTAGGTCCAACAAGTGAACATACTAATAAACTCCATTCTGCAGGGGAAAAATAAACAAACAGACAAACATTCAATTCTTCTGATTCACATTCTAGCCTACTTTTGAGTTGACTTTTGAGACAGACTTTTTATACAGTAGGATTCTAATTTGGAAGAGGATGACAGCGGAAAAAAAGTCAATTGTAAATGATATGATTAATAAAAAATATCTTGTCTAATTCACAACAATGCAACGTGAAGTAAAGGCAATAAGGAGTGCCTGGTAGGCCAATGGAGCATTGGGATTTTAATGCGCATGAGAAGCTTATTAAAATAAATCATTTAGAGAAGATAAAGGGACTGCATCTTTGGTGTGCTAACAGGGTGCCAGGACAGCACAAGAATTTGGGCTCACAACTGCTTGAAGCAGGAGCTCTGGCCATGTGCAGCCAGGCCACCTATGTGAGTTATATGATATTATTCCATGACAATGGGTAAAGGGAGTCAATGGCACAGCATCTTGTGCTTCTAATCCTTCTTAAATTCACTTGTGAGTTGCTCTTTTTTTAGCTTCTCAGTCTCTCAAACACAAAACTTGTGCACAGAACCCCAGTCCTGAACTTCATCTATATATGAGTCTCCGAGCTTTGTTCAAATTCTTACTATCATTTGATAATTGAATGTATTTTCTTAGCAGCCAGTAATGCAAGTGTGTTTCATGTGTTAAAAAGTTACATCAACAACTGATTTGCTTTCAGACTAGTTTCCTGTTCCTCTGTGTTACCATATGGAAAGAAAATTGAACCAATTGCTTTGTTTATGGCATAACTAAATGACATATGTGCTACATCATTCATTGGCTCTATAAGAAGTAATAAGGTCACAGAAAAAGCCGGAGCAGTCTGACCTTATTTTCCTTCAGGTCTGGCTACATTAACACACTTACTGGAAGAGGAGATACTAATGATCCAGCCAGTACTTATCAGGACAAAATTAGTAATGATATACAATCCTCATGGTTTTACAGTAAGGAGCTCCAGTCCTAACAGAAGTCCTGGTAATGCCCTGCTTTAATGTCCGAGTGAAATCTGTGTATGTGACCCTCCAAAACAGCTTAGCATTAAAAAATATCTCAAAACCTGACCCAGAACCAGCTCCGAATGTTCAGTGTTTATATATTAATGCAGCGAGATATTGAAGCCCTTGGTGCAGTTCTGAAGGATTGATCATGTGGAAATCTGTTGAGACAGGTCAAAAATCGGAAAACGGGGATTTTTTTTCAAAGTTCTAATGATGCAGAGCTGCATAATAATCTCCCTGTGAACCATAAACATAATAAAAGCTGAGGCCATTTCTAACATAATCTCTATCAGCAAGATGCCAGCGCTTTTCCAGATTTCCTAACGGGTCCCTGCTAATTCCATGCCAAAACTAGCAGTGGATTTCTTCCTTTTAATCTCCCCTAATGCCTTATTCGATTATTGTCACTGCTCTCCGACCGCGCACCGTCCCTTCAAACCCTAATTCCCCCACCGAGGCGGTCACATCGGGCTGAGCGGCGGCGGAACCGGAGGGCGCGCACAGCCACAGCCACCCCCACTCGCCCAGCACGGACAGAGCGCGGCCGGGGACCGCGGGGACGGGGCCGAGCCAGCCGGGCTCCGCGTCCTCACCCGGCGGAGCCGCCGGCCGAGAGAGGAAGGATGAGAGCCCAAACTTGCTCCAGGTGACGGATCCGAGGGCACCTGAGCGTCCTCGCGCAGACCTGAGGCATGGCTTTGCTCATCGCTTGGGTCTGCGTCGCTGTGAGGTGAGTGAACGCATCGCCCCGGACCCCAGAGCATCCCCTCAACGCGAAGCTGCCAGCGAGGGGTCACCGGGCCGCCTCTCCTGCCCTGCTCTCCCCGACGGGCGCGGGTCTGGCGGGTGGGCTGAAACGGGACGCTGACGGCGGAACTCGCCTCTCCCCGCAGCATCGAGAAGGCGCTGGGGGGCCAAGGCGACGGGGGGGACCTCTACTCGGAAAACATCACTCGCATCCTCGACAAGCTGTTGGACGGCTACGACAACAGGCTGCGGCCGGGATTTGGAGGTAGAAGGGGAAACTCCCGCCCGGTCGGGGCGGTGGGGGAGCGCGTCGGCTCCCGGGCATCGGGCCGCTCCCGGGCTGGCGGAGGGTCGCGGCCCGGACACAGCGGGGCGCTGGAGGGGTGGGGGAGAAGAGGTGGAGATGAAAACCGGGATGCGGAGCAAAGTTTCCGTGCCTCGGCAGCCCGCAGCCTCCTGCTCGGGGCCCGGCCCCGCTCCGCTCCGCTCCCAACTCGTCTCCGTGTCCCGCAGGTGCCGTGACAGAAGTCAAAACGGACATCTACGTGACCAGCTTTGGGCCGGTGTCCGACGTGGAGATGGTAAGGACCCCACACGCTGTCCCTGCTCTCCTTTCCCGGGATTCATTACGGTGGCATCTGAGCTGTCCGTCATTAGAGCAGATTACGAGCTTTAATCTTCTTGACAATCCCTATGGCCCGGCAGGGTGCTTTGGCTGGAGCTGCATATAGCTATTTCCCCAGTGCCAGTCACCCGGTGCAGCCCCGTGGCCCCGGATGAAGCTGGGCATCGAGGGCAGCACTCACCTCCTCTGAAGCACACGGAGAGCTTAAAGATGCCTCCTGAACCTTATGAACAGCTAACACGGAGGTTGGCTAGGGGGCCGCGTGGTAGGAAACATCCTGCCATGCAGCTGCAGATGTAGTGCTGTTTGTGACAGCGGCTCCTCGTCACGCTGGGAGCCCCAAAATTCAGGTAGCTGCAGGCTTGGGTAAACTCCATGGATTATGGCAGCAGCTCCCAGGGAAAGGGTGAACCATCACCGCTGTCTTCCTGGAAATGGACTGCAGTCGCTACTTTTGTTTTTGTACCCTTCCTCCAATACCTGCTCAACAAAGGCAGTGTTCCACTGTGTGACCCTAAAGGCACCCAAAACTTTTTCTACCTCTCTTCGTAAGTCAGTCTAGGAGAAAGCATAGAGAAAGTGTGCTTTCATTCATATCTGCCTCCTGCCAAGGTTTAGTTCAATTTTCTGAATGACTTTCTCAGGTAATTCCTTTCTGAATGGTTGGGACAATATTAAGCATCCTTGAGAATATCTAACCTAAACTTGTCAGCATAATGTTACTGTAATTAATATTTTCCTCATCAGTCCTTTCTTTTGACTATGCAAAATAAGCTGCAACGGAGGACACGATTATGTGCTTTTGTTCCTGGCAGCTAAATATTAATAGTTTGTTTTCACACTTTGAAAGGATACAAAAGTAGATATTTGTATTTCTCTTTGGACGTCAACTTCAGTCACTTTGAATTGAATTATTTTCTATGAGAGGACTATGGTATTATTTTTTTTTACATCAAGTTATCTGTTCTCTGGTTAATTTGCAACTCCTCTAGAACAATAGCAAAGAAGTGTGATATTTTTCTTATGAACTCTTCCTCCCTTCCCTTCCCTTCCCTTCCCTTCCCTTCCCTTCCCTTCCCTTCCCTTCCCTTCCCTTCCCTTCCCTTCCCTTCCCTTCCCTTCCCTTCCCTTCCCTTCC